GGTCTGTGAACTATGAAGAAATTCTGAAAACTCTATCAGCTCTACTAATAAAAGCTTGATGTAACTTCGTTAAAACACGCTTATTCCGGGAATAGTTACTTCCAGCGTACGTTCGGAGTGAGGATGGATTAAGTTTTTACTAATAATGGGCCTAAACCGTAGCTTAACTAGTCCTTGTTAAATACGGAATCAATGCGCGGCAACGTTGCTTCATACACCATCGTTGGCGTATTTACTTAATTCTTTGGTGCTTCTGAAAACTTATCAAGAACTTTGCGTTATGTTTGAGCAGAATATTTCGCATTTTCCCCCAAATTGTGTGATTGCATTGGTAGTTAGTGGACTCATATTGATGAATGAATTGTTTTCAAATTACGATTGTTTTGAATACTTGTGACAATTAAAAAAAATTATAGATCTCAAGCGCGTGTGTAAGTTAAGGACAGATAAATGATTGCCAAAAGAACACAGTTTTATATGATTTAGAGATGTTGATGGATTTTCTAAAGAGCCTTGGTTGGTAACATGGTTGCTTACTGTTAATGACACCCTTCAACACACTTGGTTAACTCCTGCGTTCCGTCCTATGGAAAACCCATTTTTTATTTCGAAATTCAGCGGAATACCCTTTCAGAAGATTCACACGTGCTCGGCTAATTTTTTTCCTCGGCTGTGCATTTCATCAATGCTGTTTACCCTTGTATTTCTAGTAAGAAACGCCAACAAAATCACTTCGAAGTTTCCAATGCCAAAAATTCAAGAAAACACGAACAAATTAATGATGTACGAAATGAACTAGGTTTCCAAATATTCGAGAAAACACAGGAAAACGAAGTCCATTGTGAATGTCCAAAATTGAATTGTGTCCAAACAATGTCCAAAGTGAATTGAAAATGACAATGATACAATGAAGCCAAACGCACAAACAGTTGTTCTTATTCGCCTCCGTTTTCGCAATTCTAGGTTGTTCCACGCTTAAATTACGTGTCTCCTATGTTTAGCGGTTGCCATGGAAACTACACCTCCCTTATTCTGTGCTGGAGTTAGTCCATGTTTATTGGCATAGTTTTCGCTATTCTCCTACTATTCTGCACTTAAGCACAGAATAAATTTTACACCAAGATTATTGGTAGGGCTGATTGACTTTAAACTTGAAGACTAAAGTACAACTTATCGACGCGCTGGTAGAGTTGAGAGAGAATAATTCTCTTATTATTCTTAATATGATATGTTTCTTCGAAAGGATTTCCACCATTTCTAAGAAAATAGTTTTCCCAAAACATTACGATAGAATGAATTTCAGTAATTCTGAAGCTCACAAAGAGGTTGTCCAGTCGTACAGCAAATTGTACGTCTCACAGAGATTCTTATTGTTTATGATGATAAATTAAATTTTGTCGAATCCAGGAAGTTAGTTTGGTGATTGAAAATTTCACCAATAACATTTTTGAAATTCTTTAATCACTGCAAGTACAATAATAATGGAATCTAAATTTTAATGCGAAAGTAGGGAGAATCTTGTATTGCGAAGCAGACATTGCCCCCAAAATGGTCCATTAAAAATATTAATTTAAGAATAAATACGTACCCATTACACAGACATTTTCGTGCAAATTTATCGACAATATCCAATGAGTTGATTATTGTTTTTGGAAGATATACTGTAGATAATTTAGACTGCAACCGCTTTCAGATTTCTTTGAAAAAACAGCAGTTATCATTTACACGTGCAATTATACTTTGAAAGAAACTGCAATGCTAATCTCTGCATTAAATGCACGTAGCTCGTATGGGTTCATGTTTATTGCCATTGAATAATAGTACTTCTGAAATAAGGGTTTCAAGAGAATTTATATGTTACACGGGCAATGTTGAAGGTCCATACATGGCACCTCGCATGTTCGTATACGGAAACTCATGACATGAAGTATTTTGGTAGAGACATTATATTCATTAAATTAGTTTCTATATTTGCCCACAGCCGGTTCGCACTCGCGGAAGAAGGCATGGATACCTCGGTGGCAACATCGTTGCGTATGCAACATTGTTGACTGCGCGCGGCCCGAGTGTCGACGATGTCAGGTTTTCAACAGAATTTTCGTAGTTGGATCGGATTCAGACACTCAGGAGAATTGTAGCGGCCGTCTGTTCTAATTGGTAGTTTTCCGTGGATTCCTGGAAACCTGGCAGATGCTGAGGCAGTACCCTAACCAACTGCTATGGACAACGCGTGATCTTTCCTTGTTCATTCTTGCTCCCTCTCCTTGCCTTACGCATACATGAATGTGCGTTAATGTGTATATAAGTGACTAACATAATACACACATTTACATGCTCTATCTGTACTATACACGTCGGAAGACCAGATGGCAACTTATAATTTGTCCCGCTTGAGGCGGTGCCCCGTTGGGATATTTGGAACAGGAAAACCCGCAAGCCGTCGTGTAGGCTTGCGCTGAATTTCACGTTCCATCAAGGGAAGGTCACCGCTACCTCCGCTTCCATCTCCGCCCATATATCATGTACTAGTTACGGTACTAATGACCTAAGTAGTTGACGCAGCTGGAATCAATACAGCCTCTTTCTGCGAGTACGAGCTTTCCGCGTTTTCTCCGAATGCCAAAATACGTGTCTCCGCAGCCTGTGTCCATTTAAAGGAGCCGAGCGTCCCGTGTTGGGCCACCGTTTGGGATGCCTGCTGCGCAAACGCCGCGACGCCAGATAGCACGCGTTCCGGGCAGGCCGACACGAGCGCGGTGCGCGGTCTCGCCGTTTCTACTGCAAAAACCCGGCCTCGCTCGCCTCGAGATTCTTCCCCGAACTAAGGAATCTCCGCGCCTCTAGTGGATGGCCGCCCCTTTCTCTCTCGCTTCCGCCCTTCCGTCCGTAGCGCCGTCCGTACTGCTTAATGCGCTAGTCACCGCTACGTACATCGTTTGGTGAAGATCGTACAGTGCTTGCTCTATTCAATTACTGTTTTTTCTTTTTCGTTTCTATGGTGTGATGTTCTGCGCGTTTCTGGAAGAAGATTGCTCGGGAATGTTTGATGTGATGGAAAATGCTTCTTAATAGTACGAAAACCATTCGTTGCAACATTATTAGTGTCACCTATCAATGTGAATAATCTCGGTGTTTCGTTTTTGTGTTAAAAATATTTGGGAAAGGATTAATGTAAATGTAATCGTAACTAATAAATTAGCATTCCTAATGAATATATAAGTTCGTAATTGTGATGAACGATGATCGTGTGCACTTCAAATCGATTCTATCAGCTGACACTGGTTCGACAAACATATGAAGCAGTACATTGTAATGGCGAATTATATGTGCAGTTCTCAATGTGATTATACAGAATATTCTTCCTTGTCTTTGACCTACAACCGTACTGTGTGACGAAAATTAAAAGGACTTCCTGTTCAATAATAATTTGATCATTTTGCTTGAGGTCTTTGCTGTACCCTGGGGGAACAGGTTCCCCCTGTTTGAAAACTGGAGTGATCCGATTCAAACCTTGGCAAGTAAAGGAGTGAGAAAAGAAATCGGGGTTTCCCAAGGCTGAAACCCTCCTTGTATCCGGATTGATATTTCGGAATGCTTCTTGTTAAAGAGACTCGATGATAACTATTTTTTGTAAATGTTATTGTAAATGATTTTCTAGCCAGTAAAACGCTCACGTTGATATTAATAAATACCTGAATTGTTACCCAAATGTTTATTCAGTGATTTAGGAAATTGAATTTTCTGATCACTAGTCTAGTGAACCATATAAATGGGACAACCAATTTACCAATTTGTGTGTACAATAACCCATTAATGACTGTAAGTTAATTCTAAAAGTATATTTATTTCTCTGGTGTAAGATTCTACCAGATGTACTCTTTTCGTCATGTAAACATCCACGCGTGCTATCAGACAGAAAATATGGTGATTGTATTGCTTGCTCTTGCTTAAGGTGCCTGTACCCGTTGTTCCGGGCATATACGTATAAGAATGATGCACATGTGCTAGAGTAATTCAACACGGGTCAAGAACCCTTTTTGGAATTGTTAATGATTGTATGTTCGACCCCTTAGCACTTAACACATCGGTTTCGGATGTAAATAACGAACTTCCAATGAAGAATGGCTAGCTAATATGTCTGCATGGAAAACACGTTCTGCGCGTTTCTGGAAGAAGATTGCTCGGGAATGCGATCGAAATTTACATGTCACTGGTGAACAGAAGTTGCGAATTTGGAGTGAAGTGTTTTGGGAGCATCGATAAGAAAGCAAATACGAATATGAAAGTCGCAAATACGAATATGTTTCAGGATTATGTTATCTTTGATTAATGTTGAATTAAAAAAAAGAAGAGAAATGACATTGTTTCTTTGAGCATATTCTACGTACTTCGATCATGTAGATCATGAAAATAATTCTCTTTATTGACTGACTCAATGATTTTTTTGGGGATATCCGAAGACGAGGCTGTTATCTTCGCATATTAGATGGACCTGAAGATTAGTCTACTTCATGAGGGAATATTAAGTTCTGGCAAAGGTGCTCCGGAGCCGCCTTCCCGGGGGAGCCGCCTTCTCTGACCACCTTAATCTCCGCGAAGGGGGACCTTTCCCAGCCCCCCCCCCTCGGGCCGGCGCGCGCGGCGTCTGTTCGCCGCGATTTATGACGCCCGATTTCGGGCGCGGGGCGGAGCAGGGCGGGGCGTGGCGGGGCCCTTACCTTGCGTTGCCTTGGCGGCGGCCGCCATTGCGCCAGCGGCTAGCCCGCGTTTTTCCGCGCTCTGAAGCGAAGCGGCCGGTCCGGGAAGGCGGCGGCGGGGTCCAGGGGCCTGGGGGCCGGGGGCCACGCGCCGGGGGGGGGGGGGGGAGGGGGGGGGGGGGGGTAGGCGGGGGGGTCAGCTGCCCCGGGCGCCCGCGCGGGGGCTAAATGTCGCTTGTCCCGCCGATGCTCCGCACGCGCGTATAAAGAGAGCGGGGACGCAGCGGAGGGCACTTCTCTCCCAGCAGCCGCTTGCTCAGTGCGACTCACGCAGCAGACATGGCCCTCTCGGTGAGTATGCGAGCACCGCCACATCATAGGGTTGAGCGGAAAGTTTGGGATCTTGAATAGGCAGCGAAAAAATCGTGAATTATTTTGTACGCGATTTTGGGAATAGATTTTTGAGAAGGAAAAAAAACAATATTTTTTTTGTTTTCCTTTTGGCTTTGGGGATGTTCCACATGTGTACATCTCGGCAACATTTAAGGATTGTACTGTTTATTTTTATATTCTATGTAAGGCTGATCTACATTTTTTGTTATTTAATTTTGCATTAACGTCTAGGAATTAGCGACCAATATTGAATTTAACGGTATGGTAACTGTGAAGATGGCATGATAGGTATTGATATAGGGTGCAACGGCGAACAGAAATACAACCATGCCTGAGGTGGAATCCTTCAGTCCGAGATCGCTACGGAACTACTGCCTTAACGATCTCGGCCATCTGAACCTTCTTATTTACATCTTTGTTTACGTCGTGAGTCCAGAATTCCGTCTTGGTTAATATGATAATTGGAGTGAACGGTGTTACAGGCGCGATTTCTTGAATATATAACTGAAGTGGGTCTTAGTAATCAGTTTGTAAACACAGTTGTAGATGATAATTTTTTTAGGAATTCATTTACAGCGGTACGATTAGGAAACTCATTGTATGTTGTAAAGAGTGGGTTTTTAAGTGCATCGGATGCTTACACGATTCAACAATTGTTCAGAGATGAAACATAAAAATTATGGACAGCATTTGTGCTTTGGATGTGCTTCTCATCTCCGAAATATTACCCTATATTTTTCTTTTTGGAATATCTTTTCTATTTGACGTATTATAATTGCAGTATTAGTAAACTTAATAACGGTAAAATATTGCGTAAATAACGGATTAAGTTCATGGTTTCCAAAGCGCAATTGTTCTGCAAAGTAGAATAAACGAATTGATGCAAGCAGTCATCCTCGCTCTCGGCATCCTGTCATTACAAAAACGTGCGACCATGTAAAGTTTTTGAAAGCCGCCTTGGTGGGTACTTGAGAAACGTAGAATTCTTCCCGAGTGCCTAAAAAAGCGAAATTAAAAGAACTTGCTTGTAATCTTAAGTAACTTGATATTATGTGTGAAATTTCGCATTTTTTTCAAGATTAGGGAAAGTCCTCAAATGCCACGATTCCGCTGCTAATTCGAATGTAGTGTTTCCCGTTTACAACAATGTTGGCGACGTCTGCAAATGCTGCCAATACCTCCCTCGGGGCAACTAGACGCCCACAGTACTCGCAAACGTTCTACTAATTGGCAGGAGCTTACGTTCTGTGATCATGAGTGGCAGCGGCGTTGGGAACCGTAGGAGCGTGCTCGGAAGTGGAGTGAGGTAGAAGCCGAGCAGAGTGAGCACCTACCACTTAGTGTTCAGGTGCGCGCAGAAACGCGTTCCCGAAGACCAATCTGGGACGGTCACGCATGGTTGCACTTTTTTGAGTGTGGTTTCGAGATATTAGGCATCGTGGGAACGATCTGGGATTTGAACTCTTAGTATGTGAGAGTGTATTTTGCATACTTTCTCCTGTGCGAGTGCTAATAGTGGTAATACCGTCTTCAAGATGGTATATTTGGTTGGATTAAGTAGTAAAAAAATACTATTACTTTTTTGCTCTCTAAAATTGTGTTCTTCTTTTAACTTGTTCCTGAATAATTATAATTCTGAAGATAATTCTCTAAGATAATGAGGCCATCATTTTAGAAATTTTTAGTGTCGATTCAATGGTACGCGATTTTAATATTTTATATTATTTTTGAATGATTCGTTTCCAATACTCACATGTTTCCTCCGAGAGTTGAAACAATACGATGTACAGAATTGTGTGATGTTAAAATGTTTTAAAAACTATACTAAGGAAAGAGTTCGATGAGAACAAAATGTTATTATTTAAATGCAGCTTCAGATATTCGGTTGAACGTTTGATATACAAATTCGATTTGATTTTACAATGGTTGAAACCTTATTGCAAGAACTCAACAAAGTGAAGGGCCAATAATTTGCTACCGTTGAGTATGGAACTATCATTGATGTATGAAAGTTTGATCCAACTAGGGATATGAGTTTAGGGATATTGTTATCTTTTTGTCATTGTTACCTTCGAAGCGATAGACTTTTGATAATATCAAAATAAGATTTTTTGATTTTTTTAACTTCCAAATTTACGTCAGACTTGAGCAGTTTCTATGTAGGTTTTTCACACACCCCCCTGATCAGCCAACTATTCCAAACATAAGGCCATCTTTTGTCGGGGCGTGACATCTGCTGAGTGGGTTCACAGCTAACCTCTCATCCATTGCAGCTCTTCGCCCTCGCCGTCATGGTGGCCGCTGCCCAGGCCGTGGTGGTGCCCGCGCCGTACGCGCCCCTGCCCTACGGAGGCCTGCCCTACGGCGGCCTGGCCTACAACGGCCTGAACGGCCTGCCCTACGGCCGCGCCGCCGTGCTGCCGGCGCCCGTGGCCGCGCCCGCCGCCGTGCGTGCCATCGCCGCGCCCGCGCCCGTCGCCCCCGAGCCCTACGACCCCAACCCGCAGTACAGCTACGGCTACTCCGTGCACGACGCCCTCACCGGCGACAGCAAGGACCAGCAGGAGAGCCGCGACGGCGACGTCGTCCAGGGCAGGTACTCCCTGGTGGAGCCCGACGGCACCCGCCGCACCGTCGAGTACACCGCCGACCCCGTCAACGGC